GAGTGTTATTGACTTGTTCCATTCTCTATTAATACAAATACTCCCTTGAAAGAACAATTTAAACAAAGTGGTCTTATGAGACTCCAAAGATATTACAAATTATCCCTTATGAAATAAATATCTTATGAAAATGATATTCAAATAAAATGGGATTCTGACCAGTTGTCTTCCTTGATCATTTCTTGCTCTGGTAACAAAAACATTGTGACTGATGGCATTGTTTTCCCAAATTTTATACCTATCTGTGGGGTGGCACGCTTCTCCTTTTCCACATGGACAGTGCAAAAATAAAAATGCGTGGACTCCGCTAGACTTATTATTAAGCAAATATTTTGATACCCATCTCTACAGAATACCAAACATAACAATGAGCATGTCTGCTGGAGACTTTGGGAAATTCTGCTTTCCTGATATTGGCACCAATGCTTCCTCCTTGTCACTTGCTGCTTCTTCCCTGGAATATGGATGTAACGTGGGAGATGGACGGGCCCTCTGGCAACCATGAAGTAACCAAGAGCGCGGTCCCCTCTCTGGTTTCTCCCCCATTTCCTCATCTATAACACGAAAGGTTAGTGCGGTTTTTTTTTGTTTGTTTGTTTTGTTTTGTTTTTTAAATATATTTTTATTGATTTCTTTTTAGAGAGAGGAAGAGAGAAGGATAGAGAGTTAGAAACATTGATCAGCTGCCTCTTGCACACCCCCAATTGGGGATGTGACTGCAAACCAAGGTACATGCCCTTGACTAGAATTGAACCTGGGACCTTTCAGTTCCCAGGCCAATTGCTCTATCCACTGAGCCAAACCGGTTTCAGCGGTGGGTTTTTTTGTTTTTTTTTTGGGGGGGGGGGGAAGGAGAGGGAATGCTGGCTGCTTCTCATTTGTTTTCCACTTGGTGCAAGGCACATGGTTATGGGGTGTTAGGCAGGCTTGCGTGTGTGGCTTGGGTAGTAAAGGATGGGGCTCGCTCAACTTCCTTTTTGGTGTTCTGCTGTTTTGGGTTTTAAAAGAACCCAACTGTGTCTGCTTGTTGCGGCCGGCCTAGTCTACAAGAGGTGGGGTGAGGAGAGGGAAGGGGGACTGGATTGGAGGCGGGGAAGGAGCCTCAGAGAGCCTAGCGCCTCTGGAAGTTTGCTGGCGGCCACTCAGGACGGGGGCCCAGCGTTGGTTCTGCCAGGCTGGCCGCCAGGCTGCTTCCCTGTGGCTTCACGAGCCAGGTCACAGGTGACCATGCTGCGGGCGGCCCGGGCAGATACCAGTGCTCTGGGGACTCCAACACTGAGGCCACGAATGGGGTGCGGACTTCCCCAAAGAGAAGCTTGCCCACCAGTGACTGGGGTCGGCTCTGGGGAGACCCGGGGGTGGGGGGTGGCTTCCCCAGGGCACTCGACACTTCCACAGGAGCTGATACTGGAAGTGGAACCCAGGCGGCGCCCATAGTAGTCCTGGTGGCCACCAGTGAGCGCTGGAGGGGATGGCCGCCATGCTCTCGCTTGTGGAAACGGGGAAACTTACCTCAGCGGTGACCCCTCTCGGACCTCAAAGCCCATTAGCAGAGGAGACGGCGGGAGGCCACATACGACAGAGGTCAACATGAGGTTTTTATTGTCCGACGTGCAACGGTCCTTCCGTCTTCATCTCCCACATCTCATTCCCTTCCCCAGGCCTTGCCACCTCCGTGTATTGTCCTCACGGGCAACCCTCTTTCGTTTTCCAAATGTCCTTTTCCCAGTTTTACCTCCTTGTCTCCGGTTCAGGTCCCCAGAGTTCCAGCCTGGACCCTCCTTAACACGTGTCCACCTGGCCACTTTCTGGACAACTGAAAGTCCTCCTGCACTTTTACTGAGTGATGAGTGGCTAACCGGACTTATTAGCGATAAGTTATAGTTAATAGTCAGCGCTGTGGAACACTGACTGGGGAACTTGCTTTCTTTTTTTCCTTTTTTTTTAAATTTAATAAGTCTTTATTGTTCAGATTATTACAATTGTTTCTCCTTTCCCCCTCCCCTACCCCTCTAGCTCTGCTCTACCCGGTTCCCATCCCACCCTCTGCCCTTACTTCCCCCCACCCCCCACACTGTCCTCATCCATAGATGTACGATTTTTGCCCAGTCTTTTCCTACACCCCCCACCCCCCTTTCCCCCTGAGAATTATCAGTCCACCCCCTTTCTATGCCCCGGATTCTGTTATATTCACCAGTTTATTCTGTTCCTCGGATTTTTTTTTTTTTTATAAAAATATATTTTATTGATTTTGTACAGAGAGGATGGGAGAGAGATAGTTAGAAACATCGATGAGAAAGAGTCATCGATCAGCTGCCTCTGGCACACCCCCTACTGGGGATATGCCCGCAACCAAGGTACATGCCCTTGACAGGAATCGAACCCGGGACCCTTCAGTCCCCAAGCCGACGCTCTATCCATTGAGTCAAACCGGTCTCGGCATGTTCCTCAGATTTTTAACTCACTTGATTTTTAGCAAGGAACTGTTGGCCTGATTTAACATCTCACCCTGAGCCCGATGAACGGACTGACCCGTTGAATAACTGTGTGTACAGTCACTAAGCGACTTACCGGGAAGTGACAGAGGTGGAGGAAGGCTTCCTGATTAGTTGCCTTATAACCAGCTCATTCGACTTCCTTGGTGTCCAACGTCCAAGCTTCACCAACGTCCCACCAGCCAGAGGTCGCGTGCGGATACCCGCCCCCACCCACCCCCATCAGTCTTCCAAGCCCTCAGGTCTCTCCCTGTCCCCACCCGCCTGTGCACCAATGAGCATGCGCGAGTCCGTCAGGAGCCAATCCAGGCCTGAGGATGCGCGCAGGGGCTGCTTTATGGGGCGGGGCCTCCTGAGTTTCCAGTGGCTGAGCCAGTCTGGAACAATGGTCACTACCGGGAACCCTAGACTCCTGCTGGGCATCCCCTTCCTTAGGAGAACCATCTTTCTAGGCTCCTCCTTGAGCTCAAGACTCAAGGCCAATCAGTCGTTAGGGGAAATTCCTCCTCCACCCAGAACTTGTGGGGAAGCAGGTGATGGGCAGATTGGGGGCCATTGATCAAGGAACAAAATGCCGAGTTCACGACCCTCATGGCCAATCAGAAGGCGCCTTCTTGGTACCCCCTTCTTTTCTGTTCTGCAACCAAGTCCCCAAAGAAAACGACACACAGAGATGACCCAGCTCTCCATTTTCATGACAACCCAGGCCTGACCTATTTCCACCCCAGTTCCCATCCTTCTCCTTCTCCATCCCTTCCTCAAACCTACCACCCCCCTCCCAACCTTTGTCCACTCCTCCCTGATACAGGATTTGTTTCTTTGATACAAGCAAACGTTAGACCTATAATGAAGGATCCTACCTTCAACTTAAAACGTCTGTTACACAATATTCTCACAGATGGAAGTCTTTGATGACTAGGAGCCTTCTTTCCAGGATTACAAAACACAGGAAGCAATAACTCTCCCCGAGAGAGGATAAAAATTAAACTTCTCACCTTGAGGCTCTGAAAGGTCTGTCTCCTCGGCAGCTTACCCCCGCACCCCTAATCTGAGCTGCAGCAGCATAGACACCCCCACCATTGCCGACCTGGGTTCTTGAACTCATCAAATCTCTCCCATCTCAAGAGCCCAGAATCTGCTCTTCCCTCTGATTATCTCCAAATGGTTTAGAGGTCTCAGCAGAAATGTCACTTTGACTTTCTAATGCACATTAGGTTCCTCCTCTGGTCTCTTATACATGCTCATAGTATTCTGTCCTTCTTGTCATTTTAGGTTATTTCATGTTTCTTCAGTCTATGTAGCTCATGGAGACCATTAGCCCACGGAGGCAAAGTCAGTGTCTGGCTCGTTTGCCTCATCTGTGGAACGTATGAGCTGCATGTAAGAAAGGTGCCCATACATGTGGGGATTTATATAAACATCTACCATGAGTACAAGATGGCCATCTCACTGGTGCTGAATGAAGAACCACTGGATTGACTCGCCAATAATGCCCCAGGGAAGAGATGACCCTTTTTTCAACAGCTGCAAATTACTGGCCTCTGGCGCCAGAAAGGTTGTCATCTCCTCTGAAGGGAAACACTTCACACCCTGGTCCATTCTAATGCCAGAACCCCATTCTCATTCCTTTCAGCCCAGCCGAGAAATATTGCAATAACCTCCTAATTAGGTTCTTTGTCTCCACCCTTATCTGGTCACCACTTCTTTGCTTCAAATCTTCCAGCCACTTACAATTCATCCATCCATCCATCCATCCATCCATCCAATGATTAAACTATTAAATGATTAAACTATTAATTTATTAAACTATTGTGAGGGTTTATTTTAGGCACTAAGTGTAGAAAAAAAAAAAAAAGACAACATCCCTGTTCTCATGGAACTTACATTCTGAGGGAGCCAGAATAAAGTCCTACCAGATAAAGCTCCACTGCCTTATGTGGCACTCACGGCCCATGTTTGTGTCTCTTCTCCACCTGTATCTCTGGAGACTTTTCACTCACTCTCCATCCAGGTACACCTCAGGTGAGCATACTGAAGTTCAAAGTTAAAAGTTCAAAGGTGGTCTTATCTGAGACATATGACCACTAAGCATTGAAGTTGGGATTTAATCCATATACTATGGTTCCAAAGCTTGGTCCTGTATGTATATCCCAAGTCCTGAGCACACAGTAGGGGCTCAAGAGGCACTTTTTTGGTGGACCTCTTTCATAATCTTGTGTTTATTTTTCCTTCCTTTGACACCATTCCAGGACAGGGCATAGTTCTTCTGGCTAAAACAGCAGCTCATAGTTTGCTTTCAAAGCTTCTATGATCAGGTCCAAGAGTCACTGCATTTGATGGCGAACCAGTGTGAAGGACAGGGCAGGGGGCGAGAGGCCTTTGTAAACTGAGGCTCAGGGCGTCCAGATTTGATACAGGCTCCTAGTCTCCAGGCTTTAACAGTTCCATGGGATAATGGCCAGTTCAGGTGTGAATGTAGTTTTCCCAGGGTTTGTCAGCCCCAAATTATCTTGCTTTCTCCTGGAAGTTTAGGATAATGTGTCCTGGAGAGCAAAGAAAGGAGGATGTTGGAACAGGTTCAGAGATGAGGTATCCAAATCTACAAGGACAGAATTCGGTCCCCTCTTTGGGCACTTGGGGCAATATGGGGCAGGCACTGCCCTGGTGGGAGCCTGGAGCTGTGTCTTCTCATGCTGGTCTTCCCCTGCATTCATAGCACCAGACTGCTCCCAGACTCCCTTGGCAAGTTTCCCTGCTTCTGCATGAAATGTCCCCCCTTCCCCTGGGCAACCAGAACCCCAGCTCAGCCTTGCTACTGAGAGGGTGCCTTCCCCACCAGCCTGGGGTAGGCCCACTTCTGAGATCCCCGAATTGTCACATGATATTAGAAAAGACTGCAGGAAATATTGTGAAGTATTACAGACACATGGTTTATACAAAAGAACACCAGTTCCCAGTGCAGGGTATAAGGAGAGCAGGACACTTCTGGTCCTAGAGAATCATCAATGGTAAGTAACAGTGAGACCCAGCTATCCCAAGCACTGTTTCCTCCAAACCCCACTGAGGATATGGGGTGCAGGGTAAATGAAGTCACCCAGGCTTAGTCTGGTCCTCCAGAACCTCCGCTGATTTGGGCCTGTGACATCTATAGCCTGTGCTGATGTAGACTGCCACTCAGAGACCAAACCTTTGATCCTCACTCTAATGCTACAACTGCTGTTAGAAGTTCAACACTCTTCTCAACCGGGACACTGTGTGTGTGTGTGTGTGTGTGTGTGTGTGTGTGTGTGTACATTGCTGATTCTTATTACCCTTCAAGTGTTTCTCTTAATGTCATCTTTTCCCCCCTCCCTGAGCCGAGGTTCATCATCTGTAAGGTGACAGTAAAGGGCATTCTATAGAACGAGGAGGGTAATTCCTGAGCACTGCATGTGCCTCTCCTTGTGGGTTTTGTTACATTGTTTTGATAGACTAGATTCCACACACAATGGGTACCCACCGCACTCTTGTTCCCAGTAGCCGATGTGACTGCGGATGTTTCTGGTTCCTCAGGATTCAGAGACATGTTGGGTTCTGACGGGCTCTTTTCAGCCTTGATCACTGCAATTTTCTTTAACAGTGTCTTTTTGATGTGGTTCACTCTAAGGAAATGACCCTCTGGATCAGTTCTGGCTCTCCACCCCCAGCACCCCCTATGCAGTCTGTGGTCTTAGCAGTTTTGGTTTAGCTTCAATGACACTACCATCTTGTCGTGTTATCGAGAGTGAGCCACACCACTCTCTGGGAACTAGTTAATATTTCATACATGGGGGCCACCTTGCCTATCAGGCTATGGAGCTCAGATGAGGTCAGCTATGAAAAGGCTTTGCAAACTGTGAAGGACTGTTGCTGGTTTTTAAGTCTAGATGACTCTTCTTTGAAAATGGCTCACCAGCTGGCCTTGCCACCCTGCTCCTCCCTCTTTCTCATCTGGGATATCTGGTCACTGCCAAGTCCCATGTCTCTGGCTGCTCCTCATCACTTGCCCTGGCTCAGCCTGGCTTAGGTCCCGGGCCTCCTGGCTCTCCCTCTCTGGTCTGTGCTCCACCGCAAGCTCATGCTTTCCTCCTCAGCTTAGTCTGCGTCCATGGCTCCCAACTCAGGATTAAGCCCAAGAGGACTGGACTGACCAGACTCCCCTCTCCCACCGCCGGGCCAAACTCTGGCCTGACCTCTGGTAACTCTGCTCTTCTCACTATACGCTTCTAGCCAATAGGTTTAGCCAAGTTTCAAGAATCTTTCTGAACTGACACAGAGGGCCTTTCACCTTCACTTTTGGCCATTATCCGTCACTCTCAATGCAATGAACACTGCACATATCACTGGGAATTCCTCAAACATGTCCTTAGAGTCTACATAGGCCGCTTTCCACCAAACGGTGAGTGCTCTGCCCCCAGATCCGCTCTAGACAGTTCTCTGGGGACTCTGCTGTCTTCTCCAGGGATGCCTCTCCCTCTTTTGCCTTCTCCTTTGAGATTTGCTGAAAGCCCCTGTCTCTTTGGCCTGTTTGTGACTCAGAATAGTCCTGGTGGCCCTGGATTTTGGTGACCATGTGTGATTCCTATTTCCCTGGCCAGGCCCTGAGCTCCTGCCTTTGCCTACTCTGTGCCAGCACCACAGCCAGGCCTGCTGAGTAGCAGGCTCTGGGAAAGGCTGGCTGATGGGTTTGAACTCCAGTACTCACATGCATGGGATGAGGCAGAGAAAGAGCAGTGTAGTTGCAATGACTCCATAGACAAGGCCCTGGAAGAGCCCGTTGATAAAACTCTGGGTAACCGAAGGACTCTTTACTGGAAGCAGACAACATATGAGAAAGGCTTCTCTCCCTCAACCTTCAAATGGGAGCCAAAGCTCTGCTTCCTCCCCTGGCCCCAGTGCCCATCCCCATCCCACTCTTCCTCATCCTCACTTGACATCAGTATGATATTCATAGCATGGTTTCCATATTCGTTCTTCCCCTCACAGATAAGGTGTGTGCCTAATTCTGGCATCTCGGTCAGGCTGATGGTGGTGTTGCTCCAGGGGGCGAGGATGGTGGAAGTTACCAGGGGGTTGTCTATCCCGATGACATTACCTTCCAACCACCACCGCACATAAGGTGCGGGAACCCCATGGAAGGAGCAGCTGCACTGCAGCATCTTCTTCAAAGAGCAAGAGGAAGAGACCAGCTCTGCAGGTTCTGTGGGGAGGGAGGATCAGGAATTGGCAAGCATCCTGACTTCCCTTCTTCACTTTCTCCAGGATCCAGCCTCCTCCTTATTCATGATTCACAAGGAACTTTAAAAGACTTTCTGGAGGCCCAGAGGAGTTGAGCCTCACTCCTCGCTCCTCATCTGGCCTGAACCTGAATGCTTAACCTTCTAGACTGGAATTTTCTGGGGATCTACATTGCATATAACCCCTTATCTACCCCCTAAGCTAGACTTCCTAGTCTCATCCCCTGTTTCCCCTCTCTTCCTCCCATCTCCACTCTCCCATTGGGTCCTGCCCCTTCCCAGATCCATCTGTGATCAATTTCTCCCTTCATTCCTTACTGCTGGATGCTGTGGGGCAAATCCCTTTCCCTCTCTTTGCTCTTTCCTAGTCTGGGAAATAGGGATGCTCACCGAACCTGTGTCATATTATTGTTGCTGCAGAGATGAATGCCCTAATGTTTGCAGTATTGCTAGCTCAGTGTGCAGTCAAGCATTACCCATTCAATAAACAGATGTCTTTCTACAGTTTCTTCTTTCCAACCCCAAGTAGACAATGCTTGAGCATTCGTCTAAGGCAAAGATTGCTGTGACATGTTTTGGATAACAACATCTGACGCTGCCTCACTCTACGAAGAATAGGTGGGACATATAGTCCACTTGGTGAATATCATGGTTTAGTGAGGTCCTTAGTGTTTTTGTGTTATTTCTCATTGGAGTTGGTTGAGGTTACTGGAGGGAAGAGGTCACTTCCCCCTAAACAATAACCCTGGATCTTGGTCCTTCATCTGGTCACTTGAGGTGATGAGGAATCTGCAGGCCTGGTTATGGGCGATGTGTAACCTGTCCTCCACTGCTGTTCTCTAGCTTATTTCTTTTTTCCATCTGGGAAAGCGAGCTTGTGGAGCGCCTGACTCCCTATGAGCTCCCAGTGAGTGCCAGTGGTATCTGACACAGCTCCTTGTGCTCTCTTATCTGCACCCTCTACCTCCCATCCCACTCCCTGGCCCAATCTGCTACTTGCCCCCGGACACACCAGCCCCGCCAGAATCTGGCCCGCAGATGTCCGATCCAGATTGGTTACTTGATATCCTGCAGCCTCGTGATCTCCCAGAGCCCCCAGCTTCACCAAACACCGCAGTGTCCTTCTCTCCACCACTCACCCAGACCTTTGGGCAGCACCACCATCTGAAGCATTGGTAGCTCTCAGGGACAGGAGAAGTCTGGGCCCTTTACTGCAGCCAGCTCCAACCTCAGAACTGTGTAGCCCAGAAGGGATGAGAGGATGAGTAACTGAAAGAAGATGTGGGGATACAGGGAGCAGAAAGTATTCTTTTTAAAAAAATATATTTTTATTGATTTTTAGAGAAAGAGGAAGGGAGAAGGATAGAGAGAAATACCAATGAGAGGAAAACATCATCAATCCACTGCCTCGTGCATGTCCTCTACTAGGGGCTGAGTCCACAGGCAGGCATGTGCCCCAACTGGGAATTGAACCCTGACATCTTGGTTCCCAGATCAATGTTCAACCACTGAGCCATACTGGCTGGGCCAGAAAGTATTCTTGGCAAGCCAGGAGTTTCTGTCTCTTTGGTCATCCTGAAGGCCAGTCTACCCCGAGAAGCAGGAATTACATGGGGAATGCTCAAGAACATCCAGGGACAGGGCAGGCCACATCAACCCCCCTGTGAAACCCCTATGCCAGGCCTCCTTTCTTCACTCTCCCCTAGTTCCTTACGCCCAGTCCCAGCCCCCTTGGAGGGACTCTATTACCAGCTCCTTTGGGTTCCCTGTAAAAGCTCACGGAGGTCCACGGGAGGCTCGTGTACCACAGAGGGACAGGATCAGGTCTGCATGTTCCAAGTACCCCAGCTGCAGATTCCGGGGGTCTCTACAACCACCCTCATTTCTGATACTGACTTCAAGCTTTAAAGCCTCCAAGGCTATGTTTAGGTTCAACAATTCACTAAGAGTACCCACAGAATTCACCAAAAGCTGTTATACTTGTGGTCGCTGTTTATTACAGCCAAGGATGTGGATCAGAATCTGTTCAGGAAGCCCGACCCAGTGTGGCTCAGTGGATACAGTGTTGACCTGTGGACTGAAGGGTCCTGGGTTCCATTCCAGTCAAGGGCATGAACCTTGGTTGCAGGCTCTTCCCCTAGCCCAGGCCCTGGTCAGGGTGTGTGCTGGAAGCCACCAATCTATATTTCTCTCTGTCTTTCCCCATCTAAAAACCAATGCTTCAGGTCTGCATGTTCCAAGTACCCCAGCTGCAGATTCCGGGGGTCTCTACAACCACCCTCGGGTGAGGATTAAAAAAAAAAAAATTTTGCCAAGGGAAGCACAGAGGACGGAGCCCAGGAAAGCTCCACCCTGAGAGCTTCCAGCTGTCCTCTCCCTATGGAGCCCTGGGGAGTGCCACTCAAACATCCAGGAAATGGTGTGTGACGATGTGCACAGAGAAGGACAACCAGAGAGCTCACCCAAGCTCATGCCCAGAGTTTTTATCAGCCCTCCGTCTCGTGGGCATGGCTGACAGCCCCCGTGGCTGATCCTCGTCTCCAGCTCCTTTTGAAATTGAGCTGATGGCAGGTGATCCAAAGACCCAGCTTAAATCACACTGTGAAACCATCTGGTGTGGCCAGCCCCTGCCCTTAATCACAGTTTTAGACTATTCAGTGTGATGCAAGGCCCACAGGCAAAGATACTCCTATCAGGCAAGGTATTCTAAGGATTTAGAAATGACCTTCCAGGAGCCAAGGGCAAAGGCCAGACCTCTCTTCAGGCTTAGGTTAATGTCCTTACTACACAGAATGATAAATGGCAAAGTCAAGGTAGCAGTTCACTCTAGGTCTGAGTGGGAGATATATTTGGGGTGGCAGGTACACGCTCTTATTTTTAGACCTTTCCGTATGTCTGAAATATTTCATAAATTTAATGAAAATATAATCAATGGTCATTTATGTTAAACCTTCATATATATGTATTATACATAAATATATGTACTCATACATCTTTATATATTCATATATAATACATTCATAAATACGCGCATACAGAAGTGAATATAACAAAGATACAGAAAAATCATAATAAACTGGCACCAGTACTTACCTATGAAGAGAGCAGAGACGATGGAAAAGATGGAGCAGGATTTTCAGTTTTTATTCTGTACACTTAGTACTGTTTGACACATTAGTTTGCATTTATGTGTTATGGGTGAACAGATTATTTTCACAAAGATGGATTAGTAAAAGAAAACAAAGGATTACATAATTAGGCTATAATAAAAGTATTTTAAATGAATATTCATTTGTTGTTTACTACATGCCTGTCAGTTTCACACTCCTCCCAAGAACCTGAGAGATAGAATATACAGAAAGACAACGGCCAGACCACGTATGACCTTCAAGCCTCAGCTATACATCTTACATGACTCTGATCCAACTTTGCAGCAACCGGTCCAAGAAGCCACAGCAGAGAGCAATTGGCTCATAACAGCCAGAACTTGGTCAATGAGTGCCAGGTTCCCTATATGTTCCCCCGTCAATCACATGAGGCGCCCCACTTGTAATTAGCTAACCCACAGCTTTCCCATGAGCACAGTCTCCAATCAAGCACTATGTGAAATTCCTTCTCCTTTTTTTCCCCTCTTTGCTGTAAGGATTCCCCACTGCCCTGCCTGCCTTTGAGTCTTTGTCAAATGCAAGTGATGGGGGCTGACCCTCTTGCCACTGCAAGCTCTGAATGAATAGCCTGTTTGTTCTCATTTGGGAGGTCTTTGTCTGTTTCCTCAAACCCTGTGGTATTAGGTCTTGTAATTTTCTTTTTACAGAGGAGGAAGCTGTAGTGCAGAGAAAGAAGTGATTTTCCTGGGGTCACTGAGCAAAAATAGGTGATGTTGGATTTAAAACTCAAGTTCTTTCTCCAACCCAGATTTCAAGAGAGTAGTCATTTTATAATCTACCCAACCCTCTGGCCGATAGGCAATCTAGTAAAAGTACAAATTAGTATGAAAAATTTAAACGCACTCATCTCAGAAAAAAAAAAAAAAAATCAATCACCTAAAATTTTAGAAACATACCTCTAAATGGAATAAAATGGTGTCCAGGAAGAAATGAAGACCCAAAACTCTGGAGTCCTCTTTTTTATATATATATAATATTATTGATTTTTTTTACAAAGAGAAAGGGAGGAACATCAAAGAGAGCTAGGAACATCGATCAGCTGCCTCCTGCACATCCCCCACTGGGGATGTGCCCACAACCAAGGTACATGCCCTTGACCGGAATCGAACCCGGGACCTTTCAGTTTGCAGGCCAACGCTCTATCCACTGAGCCAAACCGGTTTTGGCATTGACTAGTCTTTTTTGTCTCCCATGTCCCACAGCCAGCCAATCTGTCAGAAAATCCTGTTGGCGCTGCTCTCAAAATCTCCCCACTTCTAATCACCTCCACCACCGCCACCCTGGCCCAGTTGCTGCAATAACCTTCTCACTGGCCTTGCTGCTTCACGGAGTCCCCTGCAGTGCATTCCCCACATAGCAGTCACAGAGCTTCTGTCAACCCTGAAAATGCCCTCCCCTTCTCCGCTCAGAACTCTCTGCTCTCTCTCATCTTATCAGAGTAAAAGCCAAAGTTCCGCACAATGTGGCCCTTTCCCTTTTACTCTCTGATCTCAGCTCCTGCCGCTCTGCAGAGGCTCTCTTCTTCAAAGAGTGGTTTGTTCTCTCTGATGGGTCTCTCTCTCTCTCTCTCTCTCTCTCGGCACATTTCTTTTTTATCCACTCATCCACTGATGGGCACTTTGGGCTGTTTCCAGATCTTGGCTATTGTAAACAATGCTGCGATGAACGTAGGATTGCATATCTTTTGAATGAGCCTTGTGGGTTTCTTAGGCTATACTTCCTGAAGTGGGATCGCTGGGTCAAAAGGCAGTTCCGTGTTTAATTTCTTTGGGTAACGCCACACTGTTTCCCACAGTGGCTGCACCAACCCTGTGGTACGTTTATACCTGGAACACTAGTAGGCCATAAAAAGAAGGAACGTTTTACCTTTTGTGACAGCCTGGATGGACCTGGAGATTATTATGCTAAGTGAAATGAGCCAATCAGAGAAAGACCAAAACCACAGGCTCTCACTAATATGTGGAATCTAATGAACAAAATAAACTGACGAACAAAATAGAAACAGAGGCATAGATACATGGAACAGACAGAGAGCTGTCAGAGATGAAGGGGAGCTGGGGGACTGGATGAAAGAAGATGAAGGCATTAACACACTGACACAGACAGCAGTTGGTGGTAGCCAGAGGGGAGGGGGTGGGGAGTAGGTTGAGGTGGGCAAATGGGAGGAATGGGGACAGAAGGAGACTTCACGTGGGGGGATGGGTGTATGATGCATTGTGCAGATGATGTCATTATTGAGTTGTACAGTTGAAACCTGGGTGGTTTGCCAATCAATGTCACCCCAATAAATTCCATTTTTTTTATTTAAAAAAAGCACATTCCTTTGTGATAGCCCTCTTTCTTTCATTTCTTCAGTCAAGCAACATTTTTGAGCTCCTCCTATATGACAGATGGCAGTAAACAAGAATGGTTCTTCCTTGTCCTCATTCTCATATAGAAGGTAGACAATAAGCAGGTGGACAATGAAGACAATTGGGTAGTAGTAAGTATTATACTATGAATAAAAATAACACAGTATGATAGGACAGCTATGGAATGTTATGGGATGGGGTAACGGTTTAGGTAGGGTGGGTCAGAAAAGGCCTTTTTGAGGAGTGACATTTCAGCTGAAACTTAGAGAGTAAAATCGTGGCAAACGGGGGGAGGGAAATGGCAGGCAGAGGGGACAGCAATTATAAAGTGTGAGGAGTTCACCATGCTTCACACGTTCTGGAAAACTCCCTAATCGTGCACTTAACAAGGGTAGGTGTTATGTTACGTGAATGACATCTCAATTTTAAAAATCGATTATAAAATTGTAGATAAAACAACTCTCAGTTCAAAACTTTCATCAGTGATATTCATTGGACACATGTTGCTTGCTGGATGGTCAGAGTGACCGAGTCACAGTGATTTTCTCGCAGAACTCAAAAGTTTGGTGGAAGAGACAGACATATTAACTGTCTAAACTTGTCATCTTTGATTCTTCTCTTTCCCTCACCTCTCTATCGAATTCACCAACTAATC